CCTCGCGCCATTATTGATTGTATTGCGCCCCGTGCACCATATGGTATGAGATTATCGGGGACCATACCGTGATAAGGTGGCAGTTGTTTGCAGTCACCTGTCAAAAATACCTGACGCAGGTGGGGAAAAACCCGCGCAAAGTGCCAGAAGTCGGCTTTCAGGGACCATGCTGGCCTCATCAATACTGAGATGCGAGACCATGTCCAATACTCGCGACATAATACCTTCAACCATCGAAATTGTTCCTGCCAGAATGATTTGTGGTTTGCCGAGCAGCGCAATGCGGAGCGCGCGCGAGTCATTAGCCTTAACGCCTCGATGCGGAAGACGCCGGTGGAGGTAGTTTTTAACAAATCCTCGTTCCGCAGATTCAATGGCGCGATGCTCCCACCGCCTAAGCAGAGTTTCCGGCAAGCGTGATTCTACCCAATAATTTGGATGAGGGTCATCCTGCTGGGGGAACAGCAGCTCGGCTTGGGTGGATTGGAGGAAGCAAAGCTCATCTTCTTGCAGGTCCGGTACGTCATCTAAAATAACATTAACAGCATTCACCACAGCAATGTTAGTTACTGCGGTAACTAAAATAAGATCCGAAGGCGAAATGCGTTTGAGCAGTTCGGCCACCCGGGTTTTCCACGTGTCAGCGGGCGCCTGCTGAAAGAGAACTGGTACGTTGCCTAAAAGTGATTTGACAACAGTAACTTGTTCAGAGGTCAGCTGAGTAATAGTGGTCTGAGATACTTCTTCTGAAGAAGCAGCACCTTGAGCTGACTCAATACCCAAGAGTGCTTCTACAATAGGACCATTGCCTTCACTGAATCGAAGGGCCGACTGAATGCTGCGAGTTTTGAATTATTTTATCCGGTATTCGTAACCTGTGTACGATTCATCCGGTTCAATACTCATTTCAGCATACTCATCCAGTTCATCAGCTAGTTGTACATCAAGTATGTGTAGTCGTAAACTTACCCGAACATTACCACGCTGATCGTTGTCAAAGCGGTGAATAATGGCCCGAAGTGTAAGCTCCGGATGCACGACCTTGACACACATAATGCTGTTTTCCTGCCAATACTTCAAGCGACAAGCAAGCGCTTGCAAATTACCCCTGGCAGGAATGTCCAAAACAAAGTCTCTTTCGCCAACGCGCTGAGCTAGGCCTGTGTATGCCGTGGTATTCATTGCATGTACAATGCGGCACCTTATGTATGCATTTACCGCCAGCAACACATTCTCATACCTACGCACTTCAGCCGAGAGATCTTTAAGAGGATCCCATGGAGTGAAGGGGTTGACCTTGAACGGAATGTCAGGTTCTGTAGCAAAGTACAATTTGGACAGGATACTAGTGCTGTCCGGTTCGCAAACATATGATGTATTGTGCTGTTTGTGGAAGTCCCAAGGCAGCAGAAAGTTAGTGCCCAACTGCATACCAGGCTCAAGGACGACCTGAGAGGACCAAACTAG